GAAGGGAGGGGAGGGGAGGGGATGCCATCACACACGCGTATGATTAATTCCTACTCCCCGGTGCGTTCGTCGAGGAGGTGGCCGAGGAGGCCTGCGCTCCTCCCCTTCCTCCCCGACCACTACTTCCCCCTTTTATCCGAAACTTTCTTGCCGTGTCCCTTTCTCACCGTCACCGTCATTAGTTACTCGGCGTCCTATTCAGAGACCTTAGCCGCCGCCGTGCAGCTGGTCGCGAATCGCGGGCGGCGACGGCGGCGGAAGCTCTAAGGGCAGGCACAGTGTAGAGGGGATGGGGCTGGACGCTGTTACAGTGTGTCGATATGTGAGCGGGCTGCTCTGCGCGTTGCGGGTGTGGGGGAGGGGTGGGTATACAGCAGTCGGGGGGAAAACACGTAGGATGTGCCCCCGTTGTGGTCCAGGTTTACTCGAGAGGTTTGTTCATCTCCTGGCTGAGCGTCAGGTATTATTGCAGGAGGCACAGTGTACTAAGTATGACCAAGGAGGTATGAACCGACGACGGGATCCTGACCCCGGTGCCCCGCCCCGCCCCGCCCCGCCTTTCGCGACGCTGGAGTCGCGGTCTTACGGATTAACGCACGGGCCGGACTGGCCAGTTTGTGATTCAAAGTGACCACGACTGGTCGGACCGGACCTGGAGGGAAGAGAGGTGTTTGTGTGTGTGTGTGTGTGTGTGGCTTGGTTTGCTATATGGTGCATTCCCCCCCACCCCGCGTACCTATACACACCCCCCTTTCTCCTCCCCCATCCCCACGCGTATTTAATGCAGCTCCAGTTGGCTTGACCGGCAGCAAAGGGGTGCAAGACTGGAACCTTCAGGAGGGGGAGGGGAGGAGGGGGAGGGGGAGAGTGTGCGAGGAGGTACTGTAAATGAAGGGGGAGGAGGCCGTGCCGCACCTGATAAGACCGAGGCCGAGGGTCTCCACAGCTCCAGAGAGGCAGCGGCGGAGCGGCGGCCGAGAGCCGATCGCGCAACAATGACGCCGTTTTCCTCGAAGGTCCGTTTGTCGTTTCGTTTGATAGGCTATCCTTATCCTTATCAGCGGCCGGGGCGTCTAGGAGAATCGGCGTCGTCGGTGGCTGCGGAGGGGATGGTCGCGGGTTCGAGAGGAGTCAGGGAGGTTTCGTTTCTAGCGAACCGTCGTCTTCTTGAGAGCACGAAAACTGTTGTTGTCAACGACACCTGCTGCAGGTCCATGGATTATATTTTCATTTTATTTATTTTTTGCGCTACGTTTGGCAACCCAGTCTCTGTGTGCGTTGGTGCGTCGTGCTGCGGCACCGCCTCGGACGGGTGATTAGAAGAGATTGGAATGGGGAGGCGGATGAAGGATGGCGGGGCGGG